TTCATGCCCAATAGCGACAAACTCCGTGAAGGGTACTGCGCAAATCATCCCAGCAATTAAGTCTCAATTATCGATATTGTCCAAAATAATAACACGACCAAGTGAAAGGGATAGTTACACTACAAGACTTGAGTCGGTGAAGATCATATCAAAATTGACTAAAAAAACTTGTGAATAATGCGACATGTCATAAAAGGTAAAGAAACAACACAGATAAAAATCTAAAGAAGGTTGTATCTCATTCATATAACTGTTCCGCTACATGTATTTTTGAAAAAAAAATTTATACATTGATTCCATTGCTTTTGATAAAAAAAAGAAAAGTTTCTAAGTTTAAAGTCTTCTAGCCGAGTGCTGGATGATCCATTGTCCACCACATTATCTCCCTTAGACTCCTTTCTGTGTTTTGAAGCTAAAGGAACATAGAGCTTTTTTAACTCGACAACATCAGGCACTTGGAATCAACCATCCCAACTCTAATGAATTGGTCGATCACCGCTCTAGTACCTGTCTTCAAATGTATAACCTAAGTCTCAGAAAACTATTTCGTTCTCTTCATTATAGTCATCTGCTCTATCAGCTTAGCATTCTCCTCCTATTACCACTCTGATGTGATCTCCAGCTCCGCCTCAGCATCCTCAAGTCGAGCCTCTGCCACGGCCGCACGATCCTCGACTGCTCTCGCCCATGCCTTGAACTCTTTGGCCTTCATCTTTGCTTCCAAGGCTTTGCCTCTCACTTCAAGATTCAAAGAAGACATTTGCGAGTCTGAGCGACTGATACTAGTTGATCATGTGACAGAGGTCTCTGGGCCATAGGTTATTCAAGAATTTATGAAGGCCCTCCGACCAAAGTACAATGGCGATGGTCGAGGCATATTCATAAGTCCCCGGGCTTGCTTGTGGGAACAAGTCCCTCGGGACGTTTATTAGGGAAAAATTGGAGTCTGAGTTGAGAAATACCTTCAGCCACTTCTTCTGTGGCGAGCTATGGTAATCCTTATCTCCCTCTGTCTCTTCTTGGGAGGTAAGTGGAGAGGAGCGTTAATCTTGGGCAAGAGCTTTGACATTCCTCTGACGTTATTCTTCTTCAGGAAATCCCTACCTGCACTCTGGAGCAAAAACCAGCATAAGCTCCTCCTCATCAGTCGGGCTGACCTCCAGGATTTCCTCTTCATCCCATTCTGCAGGTGTAGCTGACAACCGTAGAGAAGGTTGGCTGGCTTCCCCTCTTTCAGCAAGAATAGATCCCAGGGAAGATGGTAGGGAAGCTCCCTGGATCAATGGCCACTGGGAGGATCCCTCGACATCTGATCCAATGATGCTAGGCATCGGCTCCTCTTAGTGTTCATACCTCGAATTCCTTAAGTTCATCAAAGATGGCTTTCGCTCGATCAAAATCAATTCACCGGTGACAGTATTTTGAATGACTAAATTGGTTTCAGAAAAAAAAATGAATTAATTCCAAACCTGGGATCGTTCTGTCTGTCTGATCGTCTTATTCCTCTTCCCCTTCCCTCTTGGAGGTAGAAAAGGTGCCCTTCCTGTTCCTAGGCTCCTTCCATGACAACCACGCAACCTTTTTAATCTGCCTCTTCTCCTCCGCCTCATCAGTAGCGACTCATAGCGCAAAAGTCATTGCACTGAACAGGGTGGGGTTTAGAACCCGATTCACTGTCATGTGTTCAGTGCATTGAATGACCAGCATATGTATACTCGTGATAGTTGTAGCAAGCCTCAAGACCCGCTGCGGGACTCCCTTCTTCTTGTATGGTTCTCCGATCGGCCTTCTCGCCAGTCCTCGCAGACACCTCAGATGAACTGGAACTTTTAATCCTTGATTTTATTTTCCAGATCGATCAAATGGAATTTCCGAGCCGAGTCGAATACGACGTAGTTGTCTGGCTCAAAGAAAACATGTAAAAAAACAACTTCTTAGACCACGGGATCTTAATCCGTCGCAAGTAAATGACGAAATTCATCACTATAGCGATTGAGTTTGGCTTTATCTACAAGGAGATGATTGTAATAATTAAGAATCGATCAAATCTCCTGACAGAATGGCAATCGAAGTCTCCATTGAAACTGATCCAGGTGGAAGATCAGATCATCACTGAAATGATCAGTCACCCTTGCCTCCGACTTCACCAGCTCGAGCACTACACATGTGTCGTACACAAAAGTATCTTCCAAGAGCTCCGCATTAAACGATGTAAGGGGTAGACCTTTTGGTCACTGGCACCTAACTAGATATTTGTGGAGAATATTTGGAAGTCATAGAAACGCTATAAGAAAACCGACCAAAGGAGAGACAAGAAACGATTGATGGGAAGACAAAGGAAAATCTAAGAAGCATAAACCCATTTCCATTTAACCCTATATATACGATATACAGGGAATTCTAAATGTCTCAAATCCATACCTCGATATCTAAAAATTCACATCACATCAACATGAAATTTGAGAAAATGAAATGATGCAAAATTTTCAAAATTCACATAAATTAATTTTTTATTTATGACAGGAAATATTCTACAGATGAGTCGTCAGCCAACTCGGACAACACAAGAACCTGACTCAAAAGACTTTCATACAACGCATGCCCCTCAAACATAAACTTCCCCACACTCTCATCCATCGCTCGGATCTGAGGGATTGAACTTGTTGCCTGAGACCTTTGTCAGCTCCATCCAAAGAGTCGCCACCTCCGTCTGAAGAGCCGCAACCTCTGTTTGGAGAGCCGTCATATCTACAAAAAGGATCACTAGTTCTTTCTTCAAGTCTGATATAATTATCTCCCTCTACAAACCAACTTCCCGGACAAAGGAGTCCACGGTTTCGTCCATCCAATGAGCCAGAGACACTGGCGATCCTCACCAACCGTCAGTCTCCTTCTCAATATCCCCAGGGTGTAATAGACAGTCGAATGCGCCTCCGCCATGGGCCAAAACAGATGATCCCTCGATGGCCTCTGGAACGAGGGATTGATCAAAGAGTCGATAAAATGGACGGTCTCCTCTGCAAGAATAATCTAACGTCATAAAAAGAGAAAGGAACAGCTCTACAGAATAAAAGAAAAAAAAGTTTTCTCACATCAATCATTTGCTTCAACTCAGACGATCAAAGGCTATCAGCAGCAAGCAGTTGGATGACCACCTGGCTGGTCTCACCAACTAAAGTAAAAAAGAGCTCCACCTTCACGCGGCAGCAACTGGATCTCTATAGCTACTTGGACTGATTGTTGAGTTGATCGCTTAAGGATCAAATTTGGAGCAAGGACAATTGCACCAGTAGCGTGCACATCAGCTTTGCTCCCCATCTCACGATGGAGCGACATCGAGTCAGAAGACTAGACCGCTTCCTCCACCCTTTTCTTTTTTTTAGACCACTTGTTTAACCACCTTCTCTCCCTCCGATCAGCTCCCTCCATCCAGTCTCTTCGAGTCGACCGACCAGACTTCTCCCTCCGGCCTCGTCGCCACAATCGGTTGACCCTGTTTGCTCAGCTTCTTTATTATTGTTCGATTACCCTAAGGTTTCTTCTTCTCCCCTGAGTCCTTAGGAGGGCGGAATTTTTTGATCAAAAGCCCGAAGACCTTCATTATGGTTGTCTCATTCACGGGTTTCTTGTCGCTCACCATTACTCACTTCTATTAACAACCGACTGAAGGGCGGGAAATTTAGAAAGAATGATGCAAAAGTACTGATCATGTTTTATGTATAAGGAAAGCGGGCATGAAAATTCATATAGATTCAAATATTAAAAGCACCTTCATTATGGTTGTCTCATTCACGGGTTTCTTGCCGCTCACCATTACTTACTTCTATTAACAACCGACTGAAGGGCAGGAAATCTAGAAAGAATGATACAAAAGTACTGATCATGTTTTATGTATACGGAAAGCGGGCTTGAAAATTCATATAGATTCAAATATTAAAAGCATTCATTACACAATAAATAAGTTATTTTTTTTCTTTAATTCTCTTATTCTTACGAAAGTATCGCTTTCAAGAAATAAGAGAATCGGAAAACTGAATGGTACATCAAAAATATGATCGCACGAATCTCGAGAAAATTCAACGGGTCTCGCTTAATGGATACCCAAGTACTGCATTGGGATAATCAAAAGAAGAAAATGTCTGCTAAATGTTGTTTCTTTCAGTCGGAGCTATGTGCCAACTGAACAAAGTACAATTGAAGAAAATAATAGGTGACATCTAATCCGAGGGACAGTCATACATAAGCAGCTCCATTAACAGATTCTAAAACTCTTCACAAAGGCAGCCAAAGGGCACCCCATACAATACCTTTATAATCCTTTAAGAATGTCACTTGTCCAAGGAGAGTTGTCCGTCAGATTACAGTGAAACAACATCTGACTGACGATTTAAGATCACCCTTACGAAAGGAGGGTCTCTACTCAGGATTCCATTAAGAACTTTTCAGCCGATCGAATGTATGTTGGCCGACCAAATACTTCAGCCGACCAACTAACAGATCATTAAATTTCCCTTTTCAAGCAATTATTGATATCAAACACTGCTAACATCAGTTATGAATATGAAAGGATACCGGAGTCGGTTACAAATATGAAAATATGTCATAATAACCTATAACATGCCTATTAAAACATAGAAGGACATGTAATTTAATACAAGATACCCCTCGAACCTATTGATAAGGGGTCATTTTTTCAATAAAATACTACTAAATTTATTCTGTCAAAACTTATGTTACTGTGCTTTTAACCACCCCTCTATGAATCTCTCTATTTTTGTTCCTCTCATCCATCCAATGTCTTCGATTCAACAAATAATATTGGCAAAAAATTGTCTGTAACCTATTCTGAGAAATTGCCAACTCAACCCTTCAAAACATTCCCCAAAAGGAAAATCTCAACGACTGTACATGTTCGGGGCTAGAAAAGCTTAATGGGAGATGGAAAAATAAAGGTATGAGCTTAAAGAGTATTCAGAGGAAATCACCGACAGGAAGCTTACCATCTTGTGGTTCAGATTGCGCTAGGGTTCGGCTATGGCCGGTTATGAAGGCAAGACGGTCAGTTTTGCGCTCCGACAACCTCTTCCGGCGAGCCTCTCTATCTCTTTCTCTCTCTTCCGGTGGCTTCGTGCCGAGTTTCCCACTCTCCATCTCTCTACCGGCTGATCCTTCGTGCGCCGGGTCAACCGCTCAAAGCAGCCAATGACGCCAGGCGGCCGTCCGCCTAAAGAAATTTCTATGCGAGACACTTAAAAAAGGCGCCGCATGGCGGAAATTTCTATGCGAGCCTCTCCAAAAGTGCTAACGAATTCAGCAAATGAGCTGAATTATACCAAAAATTTTTTTAAGTTTTGTCTTTAATAAATCTTGTAGGAATTTTTATTACATGGAAAAAATAATTCAAGAGGGTGGTGACCAACAATTCCAAACTAAAACCCACACTTACAATATACAACTCACAAATAAATCTTGTAGGAATTTTTATTACATGGAAAAATTAATTCAAGAAGGTGGTGACCAACAGTTCCAAACTAAAACTCACACTTACAATATACAACTCACGTAAACAAAAGAAAAATCTAGGACTCGTTTGCCACCTATACAACCCACACTGCAAAATTTAAAATTCTTATTAACGCGAATAAAAGTTAAATTAATATGATCCCCTTTAAGTAAAAGTGAAAGCTACATAGGTAAAATATTAGAATAACTAATCTCTTGGGACTCCAAACCTTTTCTCGCAGTCCAATTTGAGCATTGATTACCTTCACAATGAATAAAAAACCATTGAACCTCCACATAATCACATAAAGCAAAAATTTTTTTAAACCATGGATATTCTTATTCATCATACAGTAGTTCTTATATCTCAACCACAATTTAACACAAGCTTCATAGCAGCAACCACAGCATAAATATCAACACTAATGGGGAAAAGGCCACAACAACCGCAAAGATCCATAGTAAGCAAACACCAGCATCATTTATGCACACAACGCCAATACAACAAAATGTTTATTACAAATGTCATCAATATTAAACTTAACAACACCTTTCTCAGGATTATTCCACTTACTCAACTTTGTCACAGGTTTGCAGCAAATAGGAAACATAACATTAAACTTATTAAAAACCTTCTTTAGCTTTAAACAAATAGGTTTTTTAAACTTGCCAAATATGAGTATATTATAAATGAAATTTCAAATGTAAGTAAAACAAGAAAACTTTGAAACCATTTTATCAGCATGCTTAACCTCGGTCCTTGAAATGCATAAGAACCATAAAACCACAATAAGGATAAAAGCAAAAAAAATAAACCACCTGAATTCCTCTAGAAAACAACCAGGTCATTAATAAACTGCACATAATTCATATTCTAATTCCTCTCGAACAAAGAAAATACCAAATTCCAGTCCTCCTTAGCAAAGGAGCAATTGGAAAATAGATGTTCAATATCTTCCTTATGATTGTTACATAAAAGGCAAAGAGAAGGCAATTTAACCTTTAAGTTTCAAAATATCATCCGTAGGCACGACTTTGTGAAGTAACCTTCAAAAGAAGAAAGATTGAGAAAGTTTTACGAAAGAATTCCAAGCCCAATGCAAATCAATCCCATTAGAATGATTCAGAGAATTATCAAAAGTAAAAGAAGTAGAATTACCTCTAGTACTTTTGATTTTAATACCATCTATCCCCTTACTGATAGAGATTTTAGGAAAAAAAAAAGAATCCTCTTTGTCTGTCATATCAGCAAGCTTAACAAGACTCAGTCGTTATTAGACCATAAATCCTTCATCTTAATACTAACTTCATGAGGGCCATCATAAAGATCAACTAAAGGCCCCTCACCAATCCAATTATCAAACCAGAAACTGCAAAGACCCTCTCTAATAACCCAACAGATAAACTTCTCAGTACACTTAGCAGCTTTTAACATTTCCTACCAAACAAAGGAATCCAAAGGATGACTAGTAATGGCAAGAGAATGAATAAAATTACAATATTTCCTTTTCATCATACGAGCCCGTAAAAAAGTGCCCTATCCAAAATGAACCCAAATCTTCATGTAATTGATCTTCATAGAATCATTCAAAGATCTGAAACCCAAACTACCAAATTTGGTAGGTTTACACATTTTAGACCATCTCATCCAATGGATATTATGATCCTTGTCGACCGAAAGAAACCTGTTAAAAATATTCTCTAACCTATTACAAATATAAGAAGGCATTTTCATGAAAAAAAAGTGTACAAAGAGAAATAAAATTAAGAATATTCTTAAGTAAGGTGACTTTGCCACCAAATGATAAAAGTAATTTATCCCAAGACATAATTCTTTTTTTAATGTTATCAATAATCTTATCTTAAAGATGATTTTTCCGCCTTCCTTTGTCAAGACTGAAACTCAAGTATTCCACAGGCAGCTCCTCTTTGGCATAGCCAGTAAAATCTTAAATCCAATTCTTCTTATTAATAGAGATCCATTTAGCACCATAGAAGCTGCATTTACTAGGATTGAACATTAAACCATAAACAGCCTAAAAATATTCCAAAACATCTCATATTCTCTTAATAGGCTTCTTATTAGCATTAGTAAAAATAATGAGATCGTCAGCATAAGTGGGATGATTAATTTTAGACTTACCTTTAACAGCATAAAGCATATTAGGATAACTATTAAAAAGCTTATTAAGGGATCTAGAAAGATAATCAAAATCCAAAATGAAAATATAAGGAGAAAGAGGATCTCTCTGTTTAATCCCTCTGAAAGACTTAAAAAAGCCACACTTATTGCCATTAATAAGAATAGAATAATAATTATTCTCTAAAATCCTTTTGATAAGGCAAAAAGAAGCATAGTTAAAGGCTTTGGCTTAAAAAACCTCTAAAATGAATTTCCATCTTAAAGTGTCATAAGCTTTTTTAATATACATCTTAAAGATAACATTACCACCCCTACCTTTCTTATCCAAATCAAGAATTAATTCTTAAGCAATGAGAACATTCTCCCTAGTAGATCTCACTTTAATAAAAGTAGGTTTTTTGATCAGAAATAAGCTCATTAAGATAAGGTTGGAGTCTAAAAACCATAATTTTAGAAACAATTTTAGAAATTATAGTATTCTGACTAATAGGTTTAAAAGCATCCCACTTAAAACCATCTTTAGTTTTAGGGATAAGCACCATATTAGAAGCTTTAAAATATCTGGTTAAATCAATACCCTTAAAAATATCTTGAATAATAAGAATAACATCAACCTTGATCACCTTCCAACATGTTTTATAGAAAGCAGCAAAGAAACCATCATGACCAGCTATTTTATTGCTATCAATACTATCCAAAGTAATCTTAATTTCAATTTTTTTTAAAGCTCAAAATACATATTTGATCAGTCATACTTGATTCATTTCGTATTCAATTATCATTAGAAATAATATTTCTTATATTTAAAAAAAATTATGCTATTCATTAAAAAGATTAAATTTTATTAGGTTAAAATTGAGTGAAGCACTAATAAAAAAAGAATTTTACTTGAGTAGAAAACAAATATATCATTCATGAGCCATTTTAATATATATATATATATATAAGCACTAATAAAAAAAGAATTTTACTTGAGTAGAAAACAAATATATCATTCATAAGCCATTTTAATATATATATATATATATATAT